CAGTGGGGTGGCGTGGCTGAGTTACACTGCAGGAGTCTGACAGAGGTGGGACCAGTGGGGTGGCGTGGCTGAGTTACACTGCAGGAGTCTGCCTATAGCAGCTGCTTTGTCGCCTCACAGTTCACAGAGTCGACTGGGTCACTGAGCCTCTGAGACAGGCAGCTGGGCCAAACAGTGGAAGGACTGGCTAGGGAGGAAGCATCTTTTTTTTTGGCCGGGGCTGGGTTTGAACCTGCCACCTCCAGCATATGGGGCCTGCGTCCTACCCTGTTGAGCCACAGGCGCCGCCCCAGGGAGGAAGCATCTTAACCTTATCCTTGTCACTGTTACTATTTTAGAATAAGATTAGAGAGGAAAAGCTAGCAGCTACTTTGTTAGAACAGGCTCCAAGGGCTCCATCCTTGGTCTTAATATTTAAAATATATGCAAATAGTAATAAAAGTGCAAGAAGATAGGGTGAAAGGCTTGTCTCTGCTCTCCTTCCCCCCTTGGTACTTTCCTTTCTCCCAGAGGGGGGACCTCGTACCAGTTTCTTGTGTGCCTTGTATAACCATTTTGTAGTAATGCAAGTAGCCTTTTATTTTTTGTTTTTTAAAAGCATATACAAGAATGAAAAGGCCACCCAGATAGCAAGGGAAGATGGTTATAATATACACATATGCTGATGAAGTATTGTTTAGTATTTATTAAAAAACCATACAAATCAAGAAGACAAATACATCCCGTTAGGAAAAATGGACAAAAATATTTCATAAAAGAAGAAAGCCAGCTGGCCAGTAAGGTGCTTAGTTCCAGTAATCATCACCAAAACCGCCGAGATAGTGCTATAACCCACCAGAATGACGTTTTTAGATATTTATTGTTGTAAAGAAGTTTTCATATAGTCAAATTATCTTCTTTAATTTATGGTTTCTAAAACAATTGTGATGTATTTTAAAAGAGCTTACCATAAGCTGAAATTTAAAAAAAATTTTTACTTTTCCCTTTTGTATTGTTTTATCTTTATAGCTTTGAATCTTTAATCTAGGATTTGTTGTTTTTATTCAAGTAGACACCCAATTCTCAATATCATTTGTTGAATAATTCATTTGTTGTTGTGCCTTGATAATATACTATATTCTTACATTATTGGAATCTATTTTCAAACTTCTTGATTCATCTATCCCAGGTTCTCAACCTTCCTAATGATGTGACCCTTAAATACAAGTCCTGTGGGTCACGACCCACAGGTTGAGAACCGCTGGTCTATCCATTCATGAATTAATATTGTATTTTGTATTGTTTTAACTTCTATAGCTTTAATTCTTTTTAATAGATGATAGGACTGGAGGGCAGGTCTCCATTCTTTCTTGGACTTTGCTTGGCTATTACTGTAGTGCTAATGTTATATACTCTTAAATATTATAACAAATCATGTTGAATTCAGCCAGATTTTGTTCTCACTTCAAGGCTCTACACAAGCAACTTCATTGTTTCCTTTAAAGAAAAATAAAATAAAAACTGAGCCATTGAGGAATGAGGAATTACAGGGGAGGAATGAGGAGATTTCCTGGGGAGTATAGGATGGACTTTGATCAAATATTGAAAGTAGTAGGAAAAATAATTCTGCTAGGAATTACTAATATAAGACTGGTTTTTTTGTTGTTTTTTTTTTTTGACCGGGGCTGGGTTTGAACCCACCACCTCTGGCATATGGGGCTGGCACCCTACTCCTTTGAGCCATAGGCACTGTTCCTAAGACTGGGTTTTTAGTCCTAGCTTTATCACTTACTGGACACATGACCTTGAGCAGTAGATAAAATCCTTCTTTGTGTCTGTTTCCTGTCCCTTGAACAGAGTAGTAATACCTGTCTATCTATCTTCTGCAGTGAGTCAGAAGGTCATGTAAGATAATGACTGTAAAGGAGCTTTGTAAACTTTGATGTGCCTTACAAATGGAAGGCCTGATAAGGTCATTAACTTTTGTTGCTGGTGGAATTAGAGGGAGTAGGCCAGGCACTGTGGTTCATACCAGTAATCTCAGTACTTTGGAAGGCCAGAAATTAATTTTAAAAAAATTAGCCAAATGTAGTAGTGCTTGCTGGTAGTACTAGCTCCTCAGGGGGCTCAGTCAGGAGATTCATTTGAGCCTAGTTCGAAGTCGCAGTATGCTATGATTGCACCACTGAACTCCAGCCTAGGAGACAGAGTAAAACTCTGTCTCTCAAAAAAAAAGAAAAAAAATTTTAGGGACTTGACTTTTGCATATGAGAAATATCAAATAGTAAAAGTGAGTCTGTTAACTTCTGTTATAATATTTTCGAACCTTGATGAAATGGAGTAAAGCAAAGTAATTCCCTTATTAATGGGTAGTTCCTTTGATGTCAGAGTTTATTGTCAGACATGTTCCTGGACATAGAAATAGAACAGGACAGAAAAGCCTGAATTCCAGAACTAGATTCTCTACTACTTACTTACCATTCTTTGATAGAGAACTTCTTCCCTCTGGAGAAGAAAGTCTAAGGATTGCTGTCCCTGTGTGGAGGAGCACTCTAGCCTCACTTGTCACTGTCTGTTTATAGAGAGGTTGCTCACAGCTGGGGCCAGGCTGTGTTTTCCTTATTTGAGGTGACCATGCCCAAGCCTCACTGACAAACTATCTTCATTTGAGGCAGCAAACTTTAAAAGCCTGATTTGGGGTGTGGTGGCTCCCGGCTGTAATCCTAGCACTCTGGGAGGCCGAGGTGGGTGAATTGCCTGAGGCTACAGGTTAGGCACCAGCCTGAGCCTCAGAGTCTCTAAAAATAGCCAGGCATTATGGCAGGCGCCTTGTAGTCCCAGCTACTTAGAAGGCTGAAGCAAGAAAAACGCTTAAGCCCAAGAGTTTGAGGTTGCTGTGAGCTGTGATGTCATAGCATTCTACTGAGGTTGACAAAGTGAGACTCTGTCTCCAATTAAAAAAAAAAGTGTGTGTGTGTATATATGTATTTGGCTAAATATATTTCCACAAATATATATATTTTTTTATAATTTGAAATGTGACTATCTCACTTAAATTACAACAACATGGAATGAATTGTGCATTCTTATTCTTCGTAGGTATTTGATGCTGGAGACTATTCCTTGTTGTGTTCGGGTCCTAGTGAAAATGGACAGACATGGACTGGAGGGGACTTTGTGTCAGCAGATAAAGTGATCATTTGGACTGAAAATGGACAAAGTTATATTTACAAGCTACCTGCCAGGTATGCGATAAATAATAAGTTAGGGTTTTGATCAAAAACAAAAAATTCAGAATTTGGGATGAAATTATGAAAATATATATATAGTGTAAATGTTTAATTTAGATAAAAACTTCCAAACTTATTAAATTAAATTTGTACGTCCAATTTAACTTCTAAGTGCAAAAATTAGTTGGCTTTTTATTTGAAGGAGGATGTTTTTATAACATTATTACATATTGCATGTTAAATATGTTTTAATATTAATCTTTAGCACTAAAAACACCTTTTTTGGTCATTGTCAAAAAACTTGGTCACAGGGAACAATAAAATATATGATGTCAGTATTTTAATTAGATGTTGTATTTTTCCCATTTTCAGTTGCCTTCCAGCGAGTGATTCATTCCGCAGTGACGTGGGAAAGGCAGTTGAAAATTTAATCCCCCCGGTACAATATAGCCTGTTGGCTCGAAAAGATAAAGAGGTAAAATTCTCCAGGTATCATTTATAATCAATGGCTATAACTGAAAAATTTCACAGCTATATTTATTCATGTCTTTTGGTAGGTAAACATTTGAAAGATTCAGTACAATTCAAGGCATTGTGTTAGATATTATGAAACATTTTGATATGGTCAATTATAAGCACATTTCAGAACTTAGTTAAAAACATATTTGATACCTTTAAAAGTAGCATTCTCCTTTCTCAAAGAGTACTAGTGAGCATATGCTGACTGCATGCTGGGATCGACTTGTTAGCAACATTCCTGTTGGTGGTTTAAAATTTATTTTATACACTCTCCAGCCATTATAAACATAGTGACATATGTAATTTTACCAAGGCAAAGACAATTACGTAATAATGCTGACTTAAAATAGTTTGTTAGTTGAATAGACATTGCAGTATCTCTCCCAAATCACGTACCAATTTAAATCATTCGATGTTAGGAATGAAGGATAAAATATTTTTTCTCTATAAAAACAAAAATTTTTTTTCATTTCTGTAAACCTGCTTAAAATACATTTAATGTTGAAGTGTGAGAGCACCTGTTACTGGGTTTTTAACTCTGGATCAGTAAAGAAGTGCTTTGGTTTTGAGAGTAAAGTTTTCTTTACTGATGTTCCAGTTTTCCACATCTTTATTGTTCTGAATGTTGCGTCCCATCTTTCTGTGGAGGAACGCTGAAAGGAGGAGAATTGTTTTCATGAATATTTTGAATACACAGAACTTACACGTCAGTGCACAGTTGAGATCCTCATAGTCTGCCCTTTATTCTCTTCACTTAAACTCCCACTTACCTGCCCTTCAACTTAGAGAGTCACTTCCAGTTAACCTAAGCAATAATGACTTATATAAAAAAAAAAAATGAAACAAAACAAAAAGCATGCATGTCATTTTTCTCTACATATCAGCTCCCTGACACATTTTAAATTTAAAAATATATGCTATGTGGGGTGAGCTATATTGAAAGGTAGAATACTGGTTATTACAGCTGTTTATTGTATTTATTTTTTATTATATCAGATAAATATGAGGGTGCAGTTAGTTTACGTAATTTGTGTTCGTCAAAGTCCAAGTTGTAGTTGACCCTTTCACGCAGTGGATGTGCTGTGTACCCTTACATTGTGTACGTTGGGTGAGAGCACCCCAGTACCCCTCCCATTACTGTAGTAGTTGTGCAAAATCTCCCTTCGATAATTTTTAGACTTTATGTAAAATCAAACAGTTGATTATGCTTTATATATAGTTTCTATTGGCTGGCTGTTCATGAGACAACTAATACCAAATTCAGTAAGTAGATTATTTATTCACTGTAATTGTCAAAACTGAAATCTATTTATTACTGCTTTTCGGGCTAAGATTCTATGCTTAAATATTTCAGTATTAGTGAATTAATCCTGTAAATTTAATATTAGGAGTCCACTACTATTTACTATTTTTATTTTATTTATTTATTTATATTTATTTTTTTGAGATAGTCTCACTTTGAAGCCCTCAGTAGAGTGCAGTGACTGTCACAGCTCACAGCAACCTCCAGCTCTTAGGCGTAGGTGATTCTCTTGCCTCAGCCTCCTGAGTAGCTGGGACTACAGGCGCCTGCCACAATGCCTGGCTATTTTTTGTTGCAGTTTGGCCGGGGCCGGGTTTGAGCCTTCTACCCTTGGTATGTGGGGCCGGTGCCCTATTCACTGAGCCACAGAGAAAAAGTATAAATATTAATTTTAGGGAAAGACTATAAATATAATTTTTGTTTCTTTGAATGTTTAACATACTTGATTTGAGCATTAGTTTACATGTATGTATGTTAATACTATTAAAATGTTGAATAATCATACTATAAACACATTTTCAATTTGCCTACTATGCCTACTTAGGCAAGTTACCTATTATCCTTATTTGAAAAAACATTAATGTGTGAGAAATTTTGATTAGAATTATAGCTAAAGATATGTGAATACTTTTTTTTTTTTTTGGCAGTTGCTAATTTGTCCTCCCGTTACTCGGTTCTTCTATGGATGCAAGGAATATTCTCATAAATTATTAATTCAGGGCGATTCTTCTGGAAGATTGAATATTTGGGACATATCAGACACACCTGATACACAGGGAGGTGATGAAGGTAAGACAGTGAAGTGTAGCAATCCCTTAATTCTTTTAATTTCACATCTTAAATACTAAGAACTGAATCACAAATTCATAACGTACATATGTCGTTTTCTTCTAAGAATTATATTTGATTACAGTTTTCATTGTTGACCTATTAGTGAATTAACCAACATTATTTTAATGTTTTAAATTTTTTTTTAACATGCACCAATGTTTTCTTTTATACAAACAAAACCTGCAGAGTTGAAAATGACAACTTCTATTAGTTTACAAGAGGCATTTGATAAACTGATTCCTCGTCCTGCTGGAATTATAGATCAGTTGAGTGTGATTCCCAACAGCAGTGAACCTCTTAAAGTAACCGCAAGTGTGTACATACCAGCACACGGAAGACTTGTTTGTGGCCGTGAGGATGGAAGCATAGTTATTGTACCTGCCACGCAGACGGCCATAGTACAGCTGTTGCAAGGGGAACACATGCTCAGAAGAGGTGAGCAAAGATCTACACCAAAGACCAGAGATCTATGTGTCTAAAGTGTTGCGAGAACTCTGTAACTCTGATAATGTATCTACTAGTTGTTTTTTACAAGTAAAATGAAGCAGTGCAGTTGTAAGTGTGCTATGTAGTTGATAGAGCTTAATGTGCAAATAATAAAATATCCAGTGCCATGGATTTAAAATATCCGGGGAATTAATGCCATGTAATGATTATAGATAAAAAAAGTACCCAGTTTTATTTCTTGCTATATGCAAATATGAATAGTTCCACCTGTTATTAGTTATTGCAATGATTAACTGCATGATTACTATGTTACCAGTAATACTGATAGTCTTCTAAAACAGTGCCACTAGTAGAAATTTAATACGGATCATATATGTAACCAAATATATAATTTTCTAACAGCCATGTTAAAAAGGGAAATGAAGCAAGTGAAATTAACTATAATAATACATACCCTATAACACAAATAGCAAAACTTTTCCTTTCAGCTTGTAATCAGTATGAAAATTAATAATGGAATACTTTGCATTTTTTGAACTAAGTCTTTAAAATTTCAAGACTTTAAAAGTTGTAGCAAATAAGAGTCTGGAATAGCCCCATTTCAAATGTTCAGTAGTCTTGTATGGCTAGCAGCTACTGTATTGGACGGAGTAGATTTAGAAGATAAAATGGAAAGCCTTTCTTTGATAAATTATAGCTATTCTGCAAATTCATGTTTGCTTTTACTTGTTGAAACTTGCTAAGTCTTTAATTTTTCTATTTTAAATCCCAAACGTCGTTCGCAGGTTGGCCACCTCACAGAACGCTCCGTGGTCATCGGAACAAAGTCACGTGTTTGCTGTATCCTCATCAGGTCTCCCCTCGGTATGATCAAAGATATCTGATATCTGGAGGTGTGGATTTTTCGGTCATAATTTGGGACATATTTTCTGGAGAAATGAAACACATCTTCTGTGTTCATGGTGGCGAGATTACTCAACTTCTAGTTCCACCTGAAAACTGTAGTGTAAGTTGATTTATCTAAAAGATTATTTGACCTTGGTAGGGCCAGGTTATGCTGTTGTCTGGCCTGTATGTGGAATCTAGAGTACCTTAAAGAAAATGTAACAATTATTAACAAAACTCGTTCAATTTTAAAACTTTATTAATAGTCACGTATTTAGGCATAGTTACGATCACTTACTATTGGACCCATAGAAATAGAAGATGGATTAGTGTCTTTTTCCCGTTATTAGTTCCCAAGTGGTACAGCTTGTTACTGAAATGGGGCGCAGTTTAGAAAATGTTTAGTGAATGAAGTTTCAATTATATGTTTTAAAATAATTTAAATATCTCCAGAGACTTGCTACAATGTCATTATTTTTGGTCCATCTAAGTGAAAGTACAATGAATGTATACTTTGATAAAGGCACAATACTTTTCAATACTTGGCAATAGAGGTTGTTGAAATAAAAAATTTTAGGGTGGTGCCTGTGGCTTAGTGAGTAGGCCCCGTATACCAAGGGTGGTGGGTTTGAACTAGTCCCTGGCCAAACTGCAACAAAAAAATAGCCGGGTGTTGTGGTGGGTGCCTGTAGTCCCAGCTACTCGGGAGGCTGAGGCAAGAAAATCACCCATGCCCAGGAGTTGGAGGTTGCTGTCAGCTGTGATGCTATGGCACTCTACCAAGGGTGACAAAGTGAGACACTATCTCTAAAAAAAAATTATTGTGACAAGGGAGAGAAAGCGTAACAGTTACTGATCACGATTTTGGAAAATTTTGTAACATACTTTTGTGGAAATAGATTGCTTTGTGATGTGTTGTAAGTTAGGCCACAGTGTCAAAGAAATAACTAATCCTTTTAGAAACATGAAATTTTAGGAGGGCTTAGGATTGGTAACTGATGGGTCTAAGTATTTCTTTTACTGTCTTTAATCATGGCATTTTTTCATATGATTAGCTACCTTCGTGTGCAAAATCTAAGACTCAACACACGTGTATTCACACACTAACACAGTGTCTTCTCATACACACATTGCATGCTCACCATAATCCATTCAGTGTCACCCATTTTGGTCTTCTGAAATTGAAAACAGTCTTTCTTATGTATCACAAGATGTCTCGTTTTGAAATACAAGAGATTTTCCTTGGCTTTTTTGCTTCCTTAATGCTCTGATTAATATATTTATCAGCCATGTCTTGCCAGTGGTATATATTTTGTTTGATTTGATATTGGTGGCTTTGAAGAAAATTTTAGTACTAATGTCTCTCATTATTTTTCCTGCCAAAAATTCAGGTCCTTAATTTTTTCCCTTCTTTTTTATTCCTTTATTTATCTTTCCTCCAATTTGGTTGTTTCTCATCTTAATCAATGTGAAAAATTGCTGTGTACTTATGGAAATAACTAAAATTTTATGTCACATTTTAGCAAAGCTGATATCACTATGATTACACTCATAAGTTAAAAGTGTTGTTACAACCCCTCTCCTAAATTTCTTTTTATGGTGGTTACATCCTAGAGTGAGACATGAGAATTTTCATCTCGGAGTGCACATTTGGTGAATTATCTAATATTTTAATGCCAAAATTGATTATTTAAATAATTCTTTACCAATTTAGAACAAGAATTTCTGATTTGATTGACATTTATTTTTTAATTTGAATTTAAGTTTTTCAACAGAGCATCTCACTCTGTTGCCCTAGGCTAGAGTGCCGTGGTGTCAGCCTATGTCACAGCAACCTCAGACTTCTGGGTTCAAGCAATCCTCCCACTGCAGATTCCTGAGGAGCTGGGACTACAGGCATATGCTACCATGCCCGGCTCATTTCTCTGTTATTTTGAGAGACAGGGTCTCCCTGTTGCTCAGGCTAATCTCAAACATCTGAGAGCTCAAGTGATCCTCCCACTTTGCCCACCCAGAGTGCTAGAATTACAGGTGTGAGCTGTCCCTCTTGGGTGCTATTTTTCGTTTTTTAAAGGAATTTAATTTTATATTATTTTCTAAAAGAGTAAAAGGTTATTTAGGAAAAATTCTTTGAAATTAGATTTCAATTCATTGACTAGTCTGGTTAACTTGATATGTTACTTGATAGAGATTATTTTAAAGAATTGAAAGGTAAGAAAATTAAAACTTTTCTTAAAGTTACTCTTTGAAAAATCAAACATTGAAATAATTTAGTATTGTGTAGTGCCAAAAGGTTATTTGGAACATTTGAGAAAGGTTTTTTGAGATTATTTACTCTGTGTTAAGTAATATGTTTAAGTGTTTCAAGAAATACAAACTTATGATTTTTAGAAGGAGGCAAGTATTTAAGTAAGCCTGCTGCAGAGAAGATTATAGAGAGCAAAGGAGAGGTACTGAGGGTATTTTGGTGGATGATGGCGGGAACATACCATAAATGTTCAGAGACATTAGGAGCTTTGGTTAAGTACCCAAGACGCTGTGAGATTTGAATAACTGTATATTGACTTTGTGAGGGGTACTGGAATTTGGGGTTTTGAGATCTCTAATATTAGGTTATCTGCCCAATTTCCTAGTCTTTAAAATTATAGAATATAGAGGAAAAAATATTCAGACTGAGTTTCTCTTTTCTTTTTGGTGATATGGTTTCATAATTAAAAATGTGTTATAGATGCATATGAAAAAAACAAAATGAAACATTTATTTGAAGTGGAACTGTTCACTTGAGGAGTAAATACATTGTATAGTATAAGATAAAGTCGTATACTATTTTTGTCATTCCTAGTTGTGTTTGTTTTCAAATGAGGGTTTAGGGCCTTATGTATTGCTATTAAGATGTGATAATGTTTATCAAATTTAGCAGGATTCAGATTTAAAGTGGAAACTTTATATTATTAGTAAATTAGATTGCCACTTCAAATATTCATATAGAAGACTTTTTAGAAAGATCTTAAAACAGCTAAAATTTTAACTGGCTTATTAAATTTTTATCTGTACTTAGACTATTTACTGTATTTAAGACATATTTTACAAACAGGGAGTGAGGTACATAGTGTAAACGGCAAAAGGTCTTAAACGTTACTAGTGAAAAGCAAATCTCCCTGTCCCTCCTGTTCTCCAGCTCTGTGCTTCCCTTACCCTGACTGCAATATCTTATTCATTCTTAGAGATTTTCTATGCTATAATATTTTAATACTTTAGAACTATACAATTTTAATTGTCTTACTCTACTAAGAAATGTAAGCGATAAGAAATATTTTTTATAATAAACCAGGCATGTGATTGATATGAATGAAAACTCAGAAATTAAAAAGAATGCCAGTGACACAGTGTAGTATTTCTTATTTATAGAATTGTAGTGATGTCTTTCTTGTATGGAGCTATCTATATTTTCTCAGCTGATTTTCTTTTCTTTTTTTTTTTTTT